GATGCTAATTTTGGACTGTGGGAGGAAGCTGGAGTACCTGGAGAGAACCCACAAACACAGTGGGTGGGCAAGCAAACTCCGTACAGAAAAAACTAGCCAGGAACCTTGAACGCATGTCGTCCATTATCAAGCTGAGAAACCAGGAAGGGCCCGGGTCATTTGCGGCTTTTTGACGAGAACCACTAGATGTTTGTTTCACACTAGAGATTCTAATTCAAATTGGAACTTGGTGAAGCTGACGTTAAACTATTTTGATAAATCAAGAATACAGAGGATTAAATTAGATCTTGGAGGAAATGTTCCATGATGAGCTGAATAGTCGTGTGGTGGCTAGCATAGATTGTCTCCCCCCAGTCAGAGAGTTCCTGGTTTGAATCTCTGTGGTTCTTCCTCCAACCACCCACAAACATACACTTTTAGTTAATTGGTACCTCTAAATTGACTCTAGGATACCCCCTTGTAGAGTGTGCTCCCAACCCTAACCCTAACCCTAGAAAATGGATGGATTGATGTAGATGACCAGTGGATATTTTACGATCCATTATTTAAAAAAATACAGTTTTTTTATAAAGAGAACTGCTGCATTAGAAGGAACAGGGACTGTTAGTTATACTAGTTCCTTAGGAATCATTTACTTGTGCAAAGAAAATATGTCTGGTGTGTAATTTGAGAAATAACTCCGGTACCATGTAATAAGGAATTTCAAAGGCACAACCTCCATCGACAAGCTTCCAGACGGCCTGGACTTACATCTGTATTTGTCCTCCAGGTGAGCCTTGCAGAGGGAGATTATTCCGGTTTTGAAGGACAGAGTCCGGATCTTTCCACTGCGTCCACTGGCAATCAAACAGTTGAGCGCATTAGCAGGGGAAACATCTCCCTCATGGGAGAAAAGCGCTAGTGCTTCACGTACGTGTCGTAGACGTTGAGCAGCCAGTTGAGACACATGTCGACGCACAGCGGGACGTTGACCAGGTGGGCGTGGCACTGCTCCAGCTTCTGGTACAGGCTGGTCAGACAGGTGACCAGCTGGGAGATGTCCAGCAGGTGCTCGTTCTGCTTCAAACTGTGCTGCTCAAAGACCTCGCAGGCTATTGGCATGCTCAGCAGATCCACTGAACACACAAGGAACAGTCAAGGTTTGGTATCTTTAAAGGACAACTGCTTCAAACTTGTCTTTGAATGCAAAGTAATAGACAAACAGAGCAGATTTTGCATTAATGCTGCTACAGATTCTTTTTAAAAAGAGAAAATCTCTTTGTGAACTTCCTGAAGTGAGAGCAACCAGCATGTGGTTAGGGGGTAAGATGTCTGAAAAGCTAAAGTTAAGCGATCGTAAGATACAACGACCTGCAAGTTTGAACGACTGTCTATATCGTCCTACCGCGGCTTTCAGGGTTGATCGTTTGTAGGGCTCTCTCCTGAATTTGTGAGCACTTTGAATATTGTCTGGATAAGGCGGCATCATTACACAGTGTTACACAGTGTTCTCATGGTTACGCATAGAAAGTGTACTTACAGCAGAGGGCTTTCTGCAGGCGTCTGAGTTTCATGGCTGTGCGGTAGGCCGAGAACCGCACGTTGTTCAGGTCAGCTTTAAATACAATGAGACAAGACGCCAGTCAAAATTAGGGCTTTTTTGTTTGTTGACCACTCCGTTCTAGGTTAGGTCATAACAAGGAGGGGTCTTGACTGATCCAATCTGTGGTTCAACAAGCTACCAAGCATCACCAAAACCGTTCTCACAACGATCCGACTGGGCTCTACCTTTCTGAACAACGTCTCGAACTTGAACGCTAGTTCATTAATGGGAACAATAGGGCGGGACTTACCTAGCGACTGGTAGAGCTCAGCCATCTTGGGATGGTCCCAGCATGTCGTCTGGGTCTGGTGGCTGGAATGCGACAAAAAGGATGAGCATGCCGAGCTGAATTTACAGACTACATCATAGGACAATACAGATTAATAGGGGCGGCCCTGGTACATCAGCCCAATGGCATTTGGGATTATTGCATTTTAATCAGTAAGCAACAACAACCATCCGATGCAATAAAATATAAGACAATTCCTATATGATTTCATTGACTGTTTGGTGTAGTGGTCAGCACCATCACCTCACAGCAATAGGGGTTCTGGGTTCGAGTCCCTGGAGGAACCGGGACCTTTCTGTGTGGACCCCATAAGGGAATAAGCGGTTACGATAATGGTTGGATGGATGTTTATTAAATTCAAAATTTACGGAAAAGTGTATTTCCAACACCAATGTGCCTCTTCGAAGTGCGTAAAAGTTTAGATTCAATAAAAAAGAACATGCTGTCAATTGTAAAACAAAGCATGAATTGTTGTAATTGCTCCGTCTAGGAAAATGATTAGTTGA